GGGTGGTTCTTATTTTGAATTATGTGCGGAATTCATTATTTTTTGTCACACACACGGAAGTGTTACTTTAAATGGGTTCAATTATTTTTCTATCCTTTTATTAGAGATCCAAAATAAGATGCCATTAGAATGAATGACCATAACCCATCGGTACATATCACAGTTCGTCCGGACTTTTCGCTCCTTCACTGTACCCAAAATGAGTTTAAGGTTTTTTTTTGCCCCAGATAAAGTCATGAAACCATGAAGCCTATGACCAAATCCTAGAAAATTACCCTGAGAAAAAGATCGACACCGAGCAACATCAAAAACTCGGTCAAAATTGACAAGAACAAGACTTTCTCAGCCTAAAGCGTGAAAAAGAAGACAACTACTGGCGTATGCCGATGATATAGACATAATTGAACCCAACAACCGTACCGTTATCTCTACTTTTCCAAATAGAGAAACGTAGCATACCGTTCTCGTGGCGAACTAGAACAAGACGAAATATCAAATACAAGTCATTACATTCTTGACTCGGCTCTCACGTCACTGTTGACAGTCATAAATTGGAAGTTTCTTCTAACTGGGGACACCAATATCCACGTCACCTTGGAAATTCTAGGCAGAATTACTCTTTCCATTAGATTGTATTTTGGACTGAGAGGGCAAAAAAAGAGTAAAGCGTCATCTTAACTCTACAAGTCGGCCATCATTTCCATCCTGCTGCTAAATGCATAAGCTTTGACGTTTAGGAAACTTCGAGAGGCGGTGTCCACTCCAAAGTAGAAGAATAAGAAGAAGAAGGAGTTATTTTCAATTTGTTGTTGTTACACAGTGTGTAAGAGAATAGATCTCTTCACGCTACTTGGCTTAGGTTAGATTGAACTGATCGACCCGACGAGTCTCCAATAGACGTTGCTACGTCAGGAAAAGTGATAAGCTATAATAAGTTAGCCTGGCATATAGAAAGCCTAAAGATATAAACATTGGTTTGAACTGTGGATATTCCAAGTTTGGATCCTATTCGAACTAGGCTGTCTGGGAAAGAGGTATGATGGGGAAAATAAGCTGAAAAAGGTGATGAAAATACCAGTCGGGTATGGCGTGATTCGCATTTGGAATTGCATACTTGGCGGCGGTAAAGTAATTTTTTGTCCCCAACTAACCCCGAGACGAAAGAGTTGTTCTACCACGAAGTGAGGTTGCGAAGAAATCTTCTTTCTCCAATTTGTGGTATAAGTCTTGGTGTTTTCCAACAAATGGAAGGAGGAAAGGGATGGAAGGACGAAACGATTAGTTTCTATGATCGATATTTTATCCCAAGTCAGAAATGCATTCGGCGCGATTGGCAATTCCTGCCGAGGGGTGACCGCAATCGGAAAATTTAATTTACTATAATTACCGATGTTGTTTGAAGAACCAGGACTAAAACTCTAGCCCCCAGAAGGAAAGTAAGCAATGCTGGTCACTCGGCTATTGCGGTCGCTCAAAATCCATGCATAAATAAGGATCACCTTAATGGGTGCGTACATATGTATGTAAATATATACGTTGGTATGACTGCTTTTAAGATCTCATTTGTATGTTTACCCTCGCATATGCAGCATCCAGAAAGGTCAAGTCCACATGCAACCAATGTCAGGTGGCAAACAAGTGTTGCAACAAAGAAATCGTAGCGTGGGAAACCTACAGCACTGCGTTCAGATGAAACTGAAAACAATATTTAGTGCAGTTTGTGTGTGTTTGCTCTTATTATTGTTTTCGAAGAGTGTTATCAGTGCACAGCCTTACAACAAAACAGCATCACGCAGCACAGTTCGACTTGACGACGAGGCTTAGGGGCGCAAAATTTCCTTACACACTGCCACACACAATCGTTTTCCCCCTCCGAAATACCGATGCAATAAATAATTCCACTTAGCGGCTACGTAGGCATATTTGGACAAACACAGTGCAACGGTATACACAGTCACCCCCTTCCCAGGCGATGCGCAAGTGCACCGCGCAAATATACTCGTACCTCTACGAGTTGTACGTATTGTAATCGAAAACCTGATTTGACAGCAAAATCAATTTCATCATCTTTATTATGCTGCCATGCACACGTACATACTGGTACTTACTGAAGTGCTCAAATACGCATTTATAGCCGAGTTTTGTGTGTGGAACACTGTTGCGCATGCGTAATCGTTCGTTCGTTCGCCCGCTCGTATGTGCGTATGTGTGTGTGTGTAAGTAGCGTTGTTCATGCGCAGTTGCAGCCGGCTACAAACAACTGTCAGCTGTGCGCGTAAATCCTTGCGTGGGAACCTGCCGAAAATCCTTCTTCCCACGGCTGGCAAGCCGCAAGCGTAAGCGCAACCTGCTTGTTGACTAGAGTAACCACTGTATTATTGCTTTCTTTGTTTCCGCTGTGCGCACAACCCCGCTGCAGACGCAGACCGGGTGAGCGCAAATAAAGCGGCATTGAGGGCCAGCGCTACGCTGTTTGTTTATTTGTTTGTGTGTTTCCTGCCTACAGAAATCTCAAGTGTTTGCCCGCAGCAAGTTAAAGCCTAAAGTATTTGGTAGTAAATCGCATGAAAAGAATGAGAAGAAGAAGAAGAAGAAAGAGAAGAAGAAATCAATATGCGCAGCTGTGTTCTCAAGTGGTCAACATTATCACTCGCCATAGTAGATGTGTGTGTGTGTGTGTGTGTGTGTGTGTGTATGTATGTATGTGTGCTTGAAGAAATGCATTTGAATTGTCCGAACGCAGTGCGCATTCAAAATCAGCGCAAACGCAATAGCCTAACAACAACAAAGCACATATTAAAAACCATAGCACAAGTGTCGTGTCGCAGCACGTTTCCATCGGCGAAAGAAAGAGCTGCGCTGGAAAAAATTCAGAAAATTAAAAAAAATAAAAACACCCAAAAAAAAAGCAAATAAAAATATTATGTACTTTCTGCATCCGTTTAGCGGACATACAGTTGCTTGATTCCCAAGGAATTCCCACAAAAACTCACTTCCTTTCTCGTGTTTAACCACGTTCTCAAGGAGCAAAGAAAAAAACCATAAACGTCTCCAATTTTTTTTGTTTTTTTTTTTTTTGTTTTGTGTCTCCTCAGGCATCTTTAGTCGCTTGCACTTGGCGTTGCGTCGCTTGCTGTCCGAAAGAAAAAAGGCGTAGTAATTAGCTATGAAGTGTTGACTAGGCCAAGTGAATTGGAGTTGCATGCAGAGTGAGCGACGCGACGCGGCGCATGAGGCTAAAAGGAAGGCGCACACAGTGCGATCATATTTATGTTTGTATGTATGTATGTGCAAAAATATTGCCATCCACCTGTTGTTGTTACTGCACAATCGATGCCTAACTGCAAACAGGGTTTTCAGACAAGTTTCGAAGGCGTAAAATACGTCTTATCTTCGGGTGACTGCGAAGGCGCTGTTAAGTCTTACGTGACTCACCCTGTAAGGAACGCATATTTCTATGGCGCTACAGTCGGTCTTTTGGAGTGTTGTGTGTGAAGTTGCCACCTTTCAGCTCCACTCGTAACAAAATGTCTTTGTTTCCGAGTGATTGGTACCAAGCGCTGAAAAGCGCATCGAACATGAGTTCGTTGTATGAGTTCCCTTCTGATTATCGCTCATATAGTTCGCTCCTTTCGCTTCAAAATGGCATGTCAATTGGTTGTTTGGAAGAACATTCATCTTCTCCTTAACTGATGTAGATTTTGAAAGCGCGGTCATAGAGGAATTGACAGTAGCGCGCCAATCGTTCATATTTTAGTTGTTCGTTGTCGATTGAGGACACCAACTGAAGCTAGCTCCTGCGCCAACTGAGTACCGATCTTACTTTTACTTAAATCACTGAACTGTGCCAAGGTTACCGTATACCTCATACATCTTCCCGAACTCTCGTCACTTATACTCAGAGAAGCATAAATGTTAAGCTAAACCTTTCCATCGAAGGAGGTTTAGTGAATGTCGGCATCGTCCAGGCTTCTGTACTATGAAGTAGGACGGAAGTGTTGAGCGATTTGTTGAGTTTGGTCTCCTGTTTATCGAGATAGGGTTTTACTCTCATCTAAAATTGCGCCTGACGGTCGTCTTGCCCTCGTTCATCTATTCGTACATTACTCTCTTATCCAGTTTGAGTTTGGAGAATGCAGATCTTACAATGCGAGGGTGAATGCCGATGATATGAGCAACCTTCACTATAAGCCAAGGCATCAAAGGTAACCAAGCTGATAGCTAAATAACTTTGCGGCGGTCACTGAGCAGTTGAACGCGAAGGATCCCCTTCTATATACGGCAAGGCCTGAGTTACATATAAATATCCAATCTACGCATATCGACTCTGAGTGCCGAAAATCAGGTCACGTCATCAACAATTCTAGGCACGCCTGAAATTCTTTGGCAGGTGAACTCGACATCTCCATATGCGGAGTTCCTGGCCATAGTAACTATTTCGGTAACGAAAAAGTTCACGAGATGCTTAAGTCATGATCTTTTCTTTGCTATGTTCATTGGGTATTGTTCAAGTTGCCGAGCTAAACCAAGGAGAAACCCACTGGACGAAGAAAGCTCTTTCTCTTTCTTTATGTAATATCAGAAATACACTCCGAAGTTTTGACATTCCCTGCAGAGAGGGGCAAAATAATTAGAAAAATTAGTTTCTATAATTTTAGACATTAGTCGAAACAGGACTCATACCTTGCCTTCCGAATAGCGGTCATACTTTCAAACATTATCCCAGGTACAAGCGAAGAAGCAGTCTGCAATAAGCTTCCATAAATTTTTAGTAATTTCAACTATGTCAAGCGCCACGAAGTATCGGGTTCGGTTGCGGAACCGTTCGGTATAAGCCGCTGAGAGTGTAGCGCTGCTTAAAGTCATTATGGCCGACGCCAGTCGACTAAATGTATTTATTTGCAACACGTTATCATGGCACATCCTGTTGAAGCGAAAGAAATTTACTTCGAAAATGTGCACAAAAAATATAATTAAAAAACATTTACCCAAAAAATAGTTTCCCACACTTTTTCTCTGCCATTTAGAGGCGCTCGCATGCGCACATGCACAGCACTCGAGCTCTCTGAGGCACCAGCTTCGGCTCTCACTCAAATGCAGACACACAGCACAGATTTTTGGTTGAATTTTGAGCAAACCAGCCAAGAAAACACCACCAACAAACACTACTGTTGCGATTGGCGAGGAAACAGCTGCTGCTGTTTCTTTTGTTGTTGCTGTTACTGTCGTTGCATGCTACCTGCGCTGCGCATACTCGTACTCAGTGTTAGCATTGATGAATATGATGATGTTGCTTGTAGCCAATAGTGTTTGTAGTGGTGTTGTTGTCAGCATAGCAATGCCGATCGTGCGTTGACTTGTGTTGTTGCCCTTTTGGGTCAGGCAAACAAGAAGTTAGCGAAGAGAAAGAGCGTCGAAGCGAAGAGTGGGTGAAGAGGTACAACATGGGAAATATACAATGTATGATTCCTGTTGGAATTTCTCTGTGTCAGCCAGAACTGGGAAGTGCAGTTGAGCGGCGCTCAGCTGAGTGTGCAGCACCAACGGCAGAACGACTGGGTTATGGGCAACGGCCGCGCAGCCGGCGATGACGACGCTTGTCTCGTATTTCGCCTTTCCTTCAGCTGCGTTGGTTCACACGATCGATCGATGAATGGTTAGTTAGTTGGCTGGCTGGCTGGTCGGCTGTGTGTGGATGGATGGTTGGCTGATGTATAAAAACGTATGGATGCAAGCGCAACAGCATCAGTTCATCAACAACTTTCACAGCGAGCGCACGCGAAGAGCGTAAAAGCAAAAATTAAAATAGATATATTAAAACGAACGTGAAAATCAACTTTAATTGAGGATTACTTACGGAATACGACATTTGTTGCACGAAATAATTAAACACATTAAACAAAAAAAAAAATGTATACAGATACCAAAAACCTCGCACATCAATTGGCCGATATGAGCCTGACCGGCGTCAATACACACCTGCCGCCCAGCACACCAATGGAGAAATCCAAGCGTAAACTTTGCAAAATGTGGCGCCCACTATTACGGCTGATGGCACGTAAGCGCCACAACAGTGCCACCACCACAGCAATCAGATCCTCAAATGTCACACGTCTCCACCCAAATAACGTGCACCTCAACAACACCACCGTGCCACCGACGAGAACAGACACCATCAGCAGCAGTGCGGAATGGCCAACGGCGCTGATTGAAGACTATGCCAGCCTCATGCGTAAGATGAGCTGCAAAGAAGAGTGCAATCATGGCACAGGCGAGTCGGCTACGGCCAACGCGGTGCCCGAATGGGAGCGCCCTTGCCAGGCAAGTGCCAAATTCGCAACTACTGTCATTAGTAGTGCCAGTATTGAGAAAACACCAGCCAGCACGTGTGCGCATTGTGTGTACGGACGTAATTGTCAGCATGAGCAATTTCATCATCACATCTGTGATGCAGCTACAACCACAACAACAACGGCAACAACGGAAACCGCAATGACAACAGTAGTAGGTGCTGTAAATGCGCCCACAGTGACAGACGCTACAACAACATTGTCTCAGCACGTGCTTGCCGATCTGCCCATACAATTCATTCAGACCGATGAGGGCACCTTCTTCTGGACGAATTCGCAAGAAAAAATCGATGATGACCTACTAACAGCATGGTTGTGTCACAGTTGGCGTCAGCTACCTGTACAGGCGGCTTTGTTGTGAGCGAGCTTTCGCACTTTCACAGTGCATGAAAGCTGTCACACAGGAATTAAGTATCATTATGACTTTCATCAGGGATCTCATTGTTATTTATATACTCGTAGTACAATTTATACAATATTTTTTTTTTTTTTTTATAATGATTATCCTTAGTATGTAATGCTAACTGAAATCTATAAGAATTCATAAAAAACAGAAGTTTACAACTTCACAACCCACAATTGTTTGCAATATAAAGACAATATTTGTGATATGCGCTATTTAATTATAAAATTAATATACAGAAAGTAACAAAAAATATGTACAACAATAAAAACAAACAAAAAAAAAATGAAATGATTGTCGGCTGCTTTAATTGGAAAAACCTTCGACTTAAGAGAAAAGCTCTATAAAAGCACTAAACACTTTCGAATCGATTACTTATGATTGAAAGCTTAGCCAATCTTCTTTAAAAGCCACCGCATATATGCGCAACCAAATGGTCGTCATATGTGAGGTCAAATCAGGTTCATCTTCCACTCTCCAGCTACTGCATAACTCATTTGTTAGACCGCCCAGCATCTCTGCGTGTCTATATAAAACCAAATGCTCCATTCAGACCACCTTTTAACTTGAACAACTCTTTTCTTCTTTACCTAGATGAACTATCTTGATCACATTGAAATAATTGAGGCTTTCGATCTTATGCTAGCATCTGAACGACTCTCCCTGTGTTAGAAACAAAAAGCTAATCTGGAAAACGTCGCTCAGAGTGTTCTGATTTTATGGCGGAAATCCTTCTCTACGCTGATATTCCATCAGCCGACTATGCTTCTCAGTATGGCATATAAAATCTTATCAAACGTTCAGTGAATGGTAAAATTCCACCATCAACGAGGCGATTAGATGCCAACCAAGGTAGATCCACCATTGATCAGATATGCACCTTGCAATCAATTTGGAAAAAAACGCATAACTTCGTTGATTTTGGGACCCATGAAAGTCACTCCCATAGCGATGTTGTGACTCCCATAGCGCTGTTGGTGGCCAAAACAATGAAGTTTTAGGAGCCAGACGTTCATGGTTTAAGTCCCAAAAAAATACCTTTTCAGCCGTTTGTTATGCCTTCGGTGGCTTTGGACGGGTGTCATGGTGGTCTGTTAACTCCGGTGACGATGAATTTTGTAGTGAAAAGTTGAATTCATTTTTCAATTATTGTCACATAAAGTCCCGAAAATCCCCGTTGGTTACCTTTAAGCATTGCTAAATACAGCTCAGAATTATCAAGACGTTCTTATTTTTGGTCAACATAGAGCAAGCGTGGTAACCACTCCACTTTTCTCCATCATTGGTGTCTCTACGACCACGTTTGTCTACGTCTATTGTTGTCTCTGAAAAAGCTAATTACTCCGTATAACACCTTTCACGACTTTGAACGGTTGTTTAAACGGTATTCACGTCCATATAGAAGCAGGCAAATAGTCTCTGCAGAAAAAGTAAAGATTAGATGACAGAAAGAAATAACAAGCAATGTGACCCGACATATATGGAAAGAGTTGGTCGAAAAAATATCAAGGCCACTCGTCCTTCAAGGCCACATTTTCATTAGTATAACGACAGTTGCATGGCATAATAGAGGTTTCTCGCGAAAAGGTTGGGTAGTTACTGCTCTAATGATTTTTGTCGCAGCTGTAGGAACGAAGCATCTATTGAGCCCCACCTCTGTTACTATCCAGCCTTAATAGTTTTTCAAACAAAAATTTCTCTTGAAATACTTTTTTTTACCGTCTCGCTGGATTAGCTTCGGCTAAAACCAGTAATCTCATTGCTTTCATAGAGCACAGCAAATTATTCGCTCATTTGAGAGAGGGCTATAGGAAGCCAATTATATTACTGGAAGCTCACAGAGGAATTGCGATGGATTTATGGTATTTTATTTTTTGGCCAATTGTTTCGACACTTCAACTCAACTCAAGGTTGGGTTGAACTGGTTGATCCAGCGGGTCTCACTTAGACGCTATCGCGCTCATATTTTGGTGCCAGTCACACTATATACGACCGGACTTTAGTATATTTATTGTGTGTCTTGCTTAAAGAACATTGCTAATCTTGGATCTTTGTTCATTGCCGATTGAAGGGTCTACAGCCTATCTGCACCAAGCAAACATAACTTTTGCCTACCGTACGTTCTCAACACTTACAGATTAAGTGATCCACTGACTCCGGGACATTCGCTATATTTGAACTTTTTGCCCTCCATCAGACCTAGATTAAAGACAGGCGATGTCCGTTTACCAGACGAATTTCAAGTTTGTGGTAGGTTAAACAAACTTGAAATCCGTCTGTTTACCGCTATTAAAAGCTTTCCTAGCTTAAACGCGTGCATTTTGTACATAGTTTTATCAATTCTGCAGTCCTTAGCTCATTCGCCAGACGAGGCCAGATTACTTATTGTGTTAGCTTCACTTCCAGAAATGCAACTCACAGGTTCATTAATACGTTCTGTTCCAATCAACAATTTTTAAAGTCAGTACATCAGCTATCTCATTTCTTCGATGCCTATATGACCTGGTAATCAGTAAAATGCAAACCTTTCTCTTTGCAGATAGTACTTCTTATCGCCCCTTTAAATAATGCGTTCACAGCCAACTTCGTGATGTACGAAATTTCGGCCTTAATGACCGTCAAATGCTTATTGTTTCCTGTACCTCTTCCGCCAGATATCTGGCATATATTTCGGCTTGGAAGATACTCCAATAGTTTGGCAGCAGCTTTTAGGACTTTGCTGGCGCAATAAAAAGAAGACCCCAGGCCTTCATACATTTTAGAGCTATTTACCAAAATATGAAGAACATTGTCTGTATAGCTCAGACCTTTGCTGCAGTCATTCACCTTTCTTGCAGCTGAAAGCAGCATTCCGTAAGTCAGGCGCGGGATTACGCACACTTAGGCGTAACGCTTTACTCTGATCCCGATATTCAACAACCTAAAAGCCCTGTATTAGCTATTATATTTGTACTTGGTATTCTAACAGTGTTGTTGCTGTTGTAGCGTTTGTTCAAATTCCACTTAGAGACATGCTAGTTAGTCTAAGTCATCGAGATCATCCAACACATGGTCCAGGAAACGAGTTATTTTACCTAGTTCGGACCAGCGGGAGAGTTGGGTTAGGTGTCGGTGTCGGGGCCATATAAGCAGGTGGTTAGTGTCGTGTGGGGACTCTCTACATGCTGGTCATACGTTGGGTATGTCGAGTTCGAGTCTGGATAGATAGGAGCTTAACCTGCTACAATATCCAGATCTAAGTTGCGCCAGTGGTACGCTAACATTTGCATATAGCGTTGCTAATCCTTGAAAGTCTAAAAACCTACAGCAGCCTATCCAGGTATATTATTTTTTCTTTATACTCCCATCTCCCTACTAAGCCACCGTAGAAAAATATTGCCACAAACTTGTTGGTAAAACAACCAGAGATTTTAAAAACTTTTTCTTTGGAAGTTTAACGTGGCAAAAGTAATGAAACTATCACCAACTATCATATGTGTGCATTAGACCCGACACTTTTCAGCCCATACGTGTATGTTCTGCATAGTTGAGCCGAAGACACCTCAAATAATGCTTATAATAATAATTCTTCTAGCAGTGACAACAAACAACTTTGGCATTGCTTGAGGCACGTTCTCATTTTCCCACACTTTTTGAGGTGCTGATGGACAAACTGGTATCTCGTGTGTAAGTAGTATGTACATACATATGTAAGCTCGTATGTATGACAGTGCACGAACTGACTAACTCGCTATGAATGTGAATGTGAGAACATTCTTGACTGTAATGATTACCCACTTGTACTCACCATCAACGCGACTTGGTGGTGGGGCTACTGTATATACATATATACAGTATGTAGTCAAAGCCCAGGTATTTGGGCATTTATGTATGCATGCATGTGTACTCGTATGTTCGCTCGTGTGTAGTCGCAAAAAAATGCTGAACGGCGCATCACCACTCCCTGAATGGCTACACAGCCGATGACCAGCTAATTTGTTATGCTGACCAAGATGGCATAGCGGCAACATGCCGATCGTCATTTTAACGGATCTCGTTATCGTAATAACGTTATTAATGTCAGACGGTGTGATTAACCTATGAATTGAGGTGGTGAATGGACAAAGCGTTTAACGGGCGGTGCGATCAGGTGAATTTATTTAAACTTATTTTTATTTTTAACTGACACGAGTTAACCAGAATGATGAGTAGAGAGAGAAAATGAGTGATAGGCAAAACAAAAAAAAGTAAAAAACAGAAACAAGTGTTAATGTGATTGCCATTAACTGCAAAAAAGCCTAACAAAACAAAAAAAAACAACTTGAAAACAACAACAACAATTGGAATTGTTACAGATTAGCGCCTGTTGTTGGTGTTGCTGTTACTGCCAGCAGCTGAGTCAGTAAGATATTTACATTAATATTATTCATATCAGTTTGCTGATTTTTCATCATGAATTATTTTATTGTTTATTTCATTAGCGGAAGCCATTACGTACATACACATTTTTCGATGGTATTTTGTGGTTCTCCCTATAAATTAGTTGGAATTGTTTGTTGACTCTTTCAATTTGGGGAAACACTCGAGCTAATGTTCAAAAAAAAAAAAAAAAAAAAAAAAAAAAAAAAAAAAAAAAATACTAATAATAAAAGATCTAAAAAAAAAAAAAAAAAAAAAAAAATATAAACAACTTGTGTTGCGAAATAGATAGTACACATACACATACATACATACATATGCATGTGAAATACAAGTAGTTATCAGAATTTGTACAATGAGAAGAAAAAAATACATTAAATTATACTTAGCAGTTTGTTCGTAATGAGTTTCTAAACATAAATAACAGTGTAAACAAATGTTATGATGCAATGCTAAAATAAGTTATTGCTGAACCAAAATCTTCGCGACCGTATTGCACTGTGGAGCGATATTCACCGTAACTAGTTCAAATTTGAGACATAAACAGGTCTATTCTCACTGTTATCGAAACTGTTATCGGTAAAGTAGATTTTGTTAATTTTTTTTAACCCCCTGAAATTGGATCTGATATTCTAGCGCTTCGGTTACATTGTTTGACAAAACTTTGGCAGCACTGAAAATTACTTTTGCCATTTAGTAAAGTAATAAAGAAGAATATTAACATCGAATTGGAAGACGGTGCGCAACAAAATAAATAAATTTTATTTATTTGTTTATTAAATCATAAATATTTGGACTTAATTTTGGAAAATATGACAGGACGACATAAAAAGCAAAAAATTAAATGGGGATTTTTTTTCTCGCTTCTCTTTACATGCGCCCTCTTGCACTTTTTTTCTTTATCTTCAATGAATTCTAGACGTAAAATATGCATTCAAATTTTGGTTTTTTATTTTTCACAAACTTACAACAAAAAATCACACAGCCGATGGGCAACAAAATTCACAGGGTGACAGTGAACTCAGAATACGAAATAGTAACAAAATTTACTGAACCGCTGTAGCGATTTTCGGCCGAGCTACTCCTCCAATTTATTAGTTTTGCGTCTTGACGTTTATCCAACAAATGGGGGGGACCTACAGTTTATACTAAGTCGCCTCCGAAAGGCTGATGGTTTTATGAGGAGTCTTTTTCATGTCAGAAATACACTCGTAGGGGTTGACATTGCCTGTCGAGGGGCGACCGCGATAAGAAAATTTAGTCAAAATTTTTATTAAAATTATTTTTTCTACAACTCTTTGAAAAGAATAAGCCTGCAAATATAAAGAGAGAAAAGTACGATAAAACTATTTAAACATTCAAAAAGGTCCACATGGGATTATCTCCTTAATAATACTTAAAATAAAGGAACCAATAGCTTAATGGCTTTGTTGTTTTTTTTTAGATATAAAAGGAAATGACTTTCCTACCAAAATCGGTCAAGGATTTCAGACCTATAAACCTCACTTCCTTTATGCTAAAGCTGCTGTCGAGGATCATGGATATTCATATAAGATCACTTCAAAGTAGGATAACTTTTTTGACGGTCCATCAAAGCTCACGTAAAAGGCTGTTCAACAGACTACTAAGTCATAGGCTCTTTTTTCTTCTGATCATTACAATGCATGTGGCGGCATTTCTCAACATACACGTATGAAGAGAGTTCTCAATAACATAGAGATTGACACTGTCACGTCATGGCTTGTAGCTATATACAATCAATGCTTACAAACAGAACTATTATAGCAACCAGCGGCTCAGTGAGGTGGAAAATCTTACACTAACAGAGAGGCTCCATAAAGGAGTGTTTGATTATCTATTCTGTGAGTGATGGTGTTGAACGAAACTTTACTCAAACCTAACAGTGGTGAGCAAATGGTAGTAGCTTAAGCAGACGATCTCGTGTTGATGGTATCAGATTTGTTTCTTCCTTCACAATCTTTGTGATTAATGAGGGTACCTTACGAATAATCATCTAGGTGTTAATGCAGAATGTCTATGTGACTCATTACCTCTGCAAAAACATGCCAAGCACGATGTCTTAAACCAAAGATAGCGATGTGTACGGTCCACCGGTTTGGTGACCATAGTTACAAAAGCAGTATTGTATCAGCAAACTAAATAGAAAACAAAGAGCAGCCAATTCAGGGGTTTAACAAGCTTCTTAATCATGCCTATCAGATGGAATGGGATTGTGGGAAAGAAAAACAACTTGGGCGCAGCGAATCACGAAACCAGCTCAAAGCATCAGACGATATCTTGGCCAAATTTAGTTGTTTCTAAGTGAGAATATTCTCTAAACGTGAATCGAGAAGAGGATTTGTGAAGGAGTAGAGTATACCTTCTTCATCTACACCGACGGGTTCAAAATGGCTTGCCGAGTGGGGGTGGGGTATCTGATGATGTCCGATGATGTCAAAATATTCTTATCCTTACGTCTACCAAATTAAGTTAGAATCTTTCATAGAGATCTATTAGATCTTGAAAAGTCCTGTAGAACGATGGCTCTAGGCTTTCTGGCGAGTCAACTTGCTATCAAAATAATCTGGGCTCCCGGCCATAGGAATATTATTGGCTATGAAGTTGCTATGTTGAGTAGTTAACGTCAATCTTCAAAATGCGAAGAAGTATTTGTATGATTTGTAGGGGGGGGGGAGGATTCGGCTCATAACAGTAGACGATGGAACGATGAGCTGTACTAACTATATGATGATATTGACACGGTTCAGCGAATGAAGAGAATGCGTCAACGTTGGCTAAGTCAAGTCGTGCGTATGGATGAAAGCATTCGATGGAGTACCCGCTGGTGGAAGCAGAGGAAAACGAAGACCTTCAATCCGTTGAAAGGATTAGGTGAAGAGCGAACTGGCTTCAGTTGGTATTTCCAACTAGCGCCAAACAGCGAAAAGAAGAGATGAATCGCGTGCGCTAATATTGGTTCGGCTATAATCGCGTAAGCGCCGCCAACGCAAATAAAGAAGAAGAAGAATATTTGGCTCATTAGGATCGCAAAATGTTCAGTGATTCATAATTAGTATGAATACGAGGTTTCATTGCAAGCAGTAACAAAATCGTGACTATATAAAGTGTCCTATCAAGCAAGGAAACACCAAGCAGGTGTATCGAATGATCAACCCAGAACTTATAAACCTAGTTGAAAAAACAGTTCTCTACGATACTCGATCGTCTTTAGTCGCACAGCTGATTGGAGTAATCGATTCAACAAATTTTTTAAATCCTGTTCTAAAATCTGAACTTGGCTAAGGTAAACGCTAACTAGGTGCTGAGAATGCCTACACCTCCGCAAAAACAACAGCCCATACAATGTTTTTGAACTCTTTAATGAAGAGAAGTACGTTGCATTGAGTCCAGTTCATCATTGTGAACCTGAGTCGAAAATAGACTCCGTAGCAGTGGTATAAAAAGAGCACAGTACCAGTCACCTAGTTGACTGTGAAATCTTAAAAGACTTCATGACAAAGGTTGCTTTGTTTGCACTGCATAAGGTGCGCTTCGATATTTTGAATTTCCCACCTTACAACTGAGATCCCCATCATGGGTAGTGACAACCTGCGCATTCAATGGACTAGGCAACCGTTCGCACATTATGAACTCATCTAAATTTTCCCACTTCTCTTCAATTTCCGCCCACTGTGCGCGCAACTACCAGAACTTACTATAACTTACTATGTACTTTGCTCTCAAAAACTATAGTCGCAACGTCTCGCCTCACTTCTGCACAATCGCTACTTACAATATTTATACATTTCATAAATGCCATTGATACAGTTATCTCTCATAAAAGCTGATAAGAGCAGGCAAAATAAGAGTGTTTTCCCATGCCACATGCCAAAATATTTATAAGCATAAATGCTTCCATCGATTGTTAGTATAAATAAAACAGCCAACAGATAGACATCAAAAGTGTTAGAAAGAAGTGTGTTAAAATAGTTCAAAGAAGAGAGTCTTAACAGCAAGTGAATAAAAATGCTAAGCAAGAAATCCATCGTAATATTCGCAACGCTACTCGCCTATTGCCATGCCAATGCCGTAGCTTCAACCGATGAGACAAACGTGAATGGGAATGAAGATCAGGAGGAGGCGTGTCCCGTGGTATGTCCCGCTTTGTATGCGCCAACTTGTGGTTTCGATGGCGCTGACTATCAGGAATTTGTTAACCCTTGTATGCTGCAAGTGACAAATTGCGCGCGTAGAAAGGAACGTGCATTGAAGAAACGTAAGTATTTTCTTTTGATTTTCCCCTTTTCCTTTGTGGTATCAACTAAAATTCTATTTCGTTATATTTTTCTTTTCAACAGCCTTCGCAAAGCTCGACATCGATTGGTGCAAAACAAAGCAAATTGATAATTTGTACGACTTCCTGGGCGATTTGGCAGCGAATCTGGACAAACCCGAGTGCTTGAGACCCTGTCCCATGATTTTCGATCCAGTATGCATAACTAACGGTGATGTTCGTGTGACAATAGCCACTGCCTGTCAACTGGATATGTATAATTGTGCGCTGAAGGGCACCAAATGTGAGTGAAGCGTAGTAGAAGAGTTGCTTGAGATGTTTTTGTTTGTCACTTGATTTTTTGCAAAAGAATGCGATTTCAATCTAACTACTCTTCTTCTTCTTCTTCTTCTTTTATTTAAAATTATTTACAATATACTAATATTTCATGCATGTTTCTGCTATATTTTCAGTGGGTTCCAATCTCTTCAGAATACTGAGCTCCAGAAAATGTGAGCAGAGTTAAATTTCCAAATAGCTTTCAAGTACGCTTGAGGTTATGAGTGAGTTTTAAGAAAGCAAAGTTCTAAGTTTTATGCAATTTAAATAAGAATAAAAAATATTGCAACACAGACTTTAATAAATCTTTAATTTATAAGAATTTAGTTTGATCATGAAACTGATTGCTTTTATGTTTTAAAAATTATTTCGGTCAAGCCCCCATGGCGGCTGTCTAGAATAAATTCCAGCCGAGAGGCCCAATTTTCGACCTCTTTTTGCACCAATTGGGGCCGCATGTCGCCAATAATGCGCCAAATATTCTCTTCCAGGGCGACGATCGTCTCGGCATTATCCGCGTAGGACAAGCGACTCCACATTAACATACAAAAATTAGTCCAGCAGTGTTAGAACGTACGATATATATATAACCAAAAGTTTCCTTCAGTGAATTGATTGTATCCATGGCTGTATGGCGTGTAGCAAGCTCTTGTTGAAACCAAAGGTCGTCCACATAAATATCCTCCATTTCAGGTACGAAAAAGTCATAAATCATGACTCTATAGCGTTCCACATTGACTGGGACATTATGGCCAGCTCATTTTTAAAGAAATATCCATCAAAATTAGCTCATAGAGCACACCAAACAGTGACTCTTTGAAGATTTAGCAGCGTCCTAACAACGGCTTGTGGATTATCATCACTCCGAATGCGACTATTTTCCTTATTACTTGTGCATTCAACCAAAAGTGAGCTTTCTCGCCGAATAAAGCTTTCATCAAAAGATCATAATCGGCGGCTAACTCGCTTTGGGCCCATTCACCCAAACTGCGACCCCCCTGATGATTGTTCGGCTCCAATACTGGGACGAGTTGGGTTTTATGAACACACAAAACAAGATCTATCCGAAAAGGAATGGGCACAGCTCCAATTGTTGGACATAATGGCGGATAGACCTATTCAAATCTTCTTCGATCTACAGTAGTGATATCGTCCAAGGAGCTACTCAGGATGCACATAATTCGTTAAAATAAACGTGGATCCATGATTACTCGAGTTTAGTTTTTTAATTTTTAGTTGAATAAACATAAATATATGTATGTCTACTTATTATAGCTACATACACTTGAATGAACCCTATAGGGAAAAATTCTAGTTGTTAACTAGACTACATGTGGCTTGGACTTTTTGCACTAACTATTGTAATTCATCTTCCACCTATTCCCATGTAATCAACTGGTATTTTTAACACGACTACGTTCTGCGACCTGTCTTCTGTCCGGCCATGCATCAGCTTTATACTAGTTGTATACTAGTACGGTTAGGCATATAGAATTTCTACTTCGTGAATCCCACGTGCCACAGCTATAACCTCTAACCACTCGGCTATCGCGATGATGACGCGCTGGACATAGCTTTACGTACTTCCACAGAGTTTGACGGAGAATGGAGCTCAGCTGTGGCATGCTAACTGTAACAAGTACTCCTCTTACTGGTGAGCTCCTATACAAATAATAAACTCTGGTATGATTTCATCTTTAAAATACTAGCTCTGGTCTCTCTCTCTCTCTACAGGGAATGCCTATATCTATACATATATTTAAGGTATATATGTTTGTTCTTATCGCCTGAAACGGCAGCTCTTTAAATCACAAAATTTATAGCGTCTGCAATAAATAAATATAAACATTTGACATACATACATACATACATTGCTCGTAAAAAATAATGAAATAAATGATAATGTATCGATTTTCCTGTTGCTCTTTGTTATACACTTTTTTTAAATTATCATACAATTTTATTCTGAAAATATTTTTGGCAAAGTGTAAATGATAAGGTATTGTCGGCCATAGAATATTTCACCATTGGAGACACCAAATGAAGCCAGCCCTGCTCCTTCTAGTCCTTCCACCATAGTGATGGTCTTTCTATTCTTTTATTTCCAACAGTGGATACTACATCGAATACTTTCAGTTCGTGCTATTTTCGTACATACAAACGCCAAGACTTAGCTAACTCAGTCGCTGTTTGTTGGGGTTAAGCCACCCAAAATCTGGTTGTCCATGTAAAGACCCGACATTCGCGGAAACTATTGGATCTTTGTTGCCTCTTACGACAGATGTGACATACCCGGGGTAAACTATTGAACCATTAACCGGCAGCGCAAGTAGCCGATATCTTTACAACTATATTAATGTCTCCGTATACCTCTCTCTCTCCTGGCAGAGGCGGTTCACCAGAGGTGCGACTGCCAGCGTGCGTCGGTCTTGAAGCAAGCGGCTCGCTATATAAATGTGTAAACAATTTTAAACTTACTCGGCTGACGAGTTTGTGCGCTGGGTTTGGGACCAGCCACGTAGAAACCAGCTTCAATGAAAAAATACACAACGCCTCGGATGAGATACCCCCTTTCTGTTGACGACCCCACAAAAGAATTAAGGATCACGATTTGAGGGCATGCACCTGGAATGTCTGGTCCCTTAATTGGCAAAGTGCCGTTGCTCAGCTGGTTGATTTCCTCGTAAGAATAAAGGTTGACATCACCGCCGTCCAAGAAGTGCGATGGACGGGACAAGGACGAAAGCGAGTAAGCGAGTAAGTTTTTGTGACATTTACTACAGCGGCCATGTAAAGGAGCACAAATTTGGTGTTGGATTTGTGGTGGGAGAGAGACGTCGTCGTCGATTACTGGCATTCACCCCGGTGGATGAGCGTCACACCACAATCCGCATCAAAGCTTAATTTTCCTACATATCACTCATTTGCGCTCACGACTCGACAAAAGAAAAGGACAATTTGGCCAAAGATGCCTTTTATGAGCGCCTAGAAACTGATTGGACCTTAACAGTGTGGCTTCAGACCTAGTAGGTCAACGATTGATCAAATATTCACCATGCGGCAAATCTTGGAAAAGGCCAATGAAAAGAGGATGCACACCCACCACCTCTTCGTCGATCTTAAATCCGCCTTCGACAGCACGAAAAGGAGCTGCCTTTATGCCGCTAGACAACACCAGAAGCGCAGTCGGTATTGGGAAGGACCTCGCCGAGTTGTTCGATACCAAACGAGTTTTCAGACAGGGTGACTCCTTATCGTGTTACTTCTTCAATTTGATGGTGGAGAGAATAATCAGAGCTGCAGAGCTGAATACGGAAGGTACAATATTGAGAAGAGTGTACAACTTCTGGCGTACGCCGATGTTATTGACATTATCGGCCTCAACAACCGCGCCGATAGTTCTGCTTTCTCCAGGCTTGATAAAGAAGCGAAGCGAATGGGTCTGGTAGTGAACGAGGACAGGACGAAATATCTCCTGTCGTCAAACAAACAATCATAGCATTCGCGACTTGGCTCCCAAGTCACTGTTGACAGTCAAAACTTTGAAGTCGTAGATATGTCATTTACCTCTCGCTCTACTTGATAGTGCAAAAGGTGAACGAAGAGAGACAAAAATTTTGTGTAAATTTTATTTAAACTAGATTATTTCATAGAGAAGTAGCGTAGAAATAGCGGTCTTACAGTTGTATTGTAAAGTCAATGCCCTGCACTACCTACTTTCAATCTCTCTTTTGCAGTTATGGAGGCAATTTGATGTCTTTCTCTTCTTTTACTCCCAGTTCTAAATTATTTTGCGGTACGTATTTAGCGTCGTTCCACAGACAATCGAAGTACTCAGTTTTTATGTCTGCTGTGAAGGGAACAAGCCAGATATATTGGCTTACTTTGTCATTTTTAGTCTGCTCATGTTTTTGAGAGTTGACCGAATGCAATGACTCCTTTCCATGCCGCTCAGCCACAAAGGAGAAGGAGATCAGCGGAAAATCGCTTCGGCCATAGCCATTCATTTATAGTGGGAATGACTAAGGCTGATGCAAGTTTACCATCCCACTTGCAAGAATTTAGTAAGAAATAACCCGCGGATCAATGATTTCGGCAAGTCAGGGCCGCTTACTTGACATTAGTAGATTTTCTCTAGAGTGATTAACCAGTTTAAGAATGTGCCGCCTTTATTTTCATTTCCTCATTTCAGTGACACAATTATTTAATTATGCTGAACAATATTCTCAAATATTTATTTCAAAGTGTACAGGTAAATAATGTACAGGTTCATTTACAGTCAAGGGACCTGTTTACAAAACTTGCCACATTTCGTTGCCACCTTCGCGTTGTTCTCTTCGCATGCCTTCGCTTGTTTGCTCACGTATGGTGTGTTGAGTTCGGTGAGTGCCTAAAAATACCAAAACGTCAATTATTTAATGTCACTTTGTGTGGTTGATGTTTACTCCCCACCACAGCGTAGGCGCTAAATGCAACAGCCTTTTTATTTTACTGCTGTTTCCATCAACAAAGTCATTAACATTACATCAATATTTGGTATGCCTCTTGGTTGTTTACCTAACTGAGTAGCTCAGACACTCGTAGAACACCGACACGTTCTGTGCAATAAGTAAATGGAAAACTAGCCTCAACCACCCAATCAGCTGAATTAAAAGACCATGACTCGGTCATATCGTTCGGATGGACGACAATACTCAAGTAGAGCAGGAGGAAACATCAATTGATGAAGTTGAAGCCAAGTCCTGCTTCAGCTGTCTTGGTGTGGCCGAACAAGGCCGAACGCCGGAGAGAAAAAACGAGTGGTGTATTCTTGGAGGTTCAGTTATTGCTAAGCTAAGTCCGTTCGCTGCTCGATATCGACCTACTGGGCAGCGATACCATCCCAATTAAATGACTGCACACTCCATCATCGTCGATTGGGATTCGAATCGAATCCTCTCATAAATTCAATATACTCTGAACGTCAGTCACCGGAGCACCCTTCCCGTTACTAAAGGAAAAAGCTATGACCTTGAAACGGTCTAAACGTCAGCTCATTTTTAAGTAGTATTTTCCAGCATTCTTTCCTCTTCTTGGCCTTATTTTCAGTTTCTTCATGCTTACATATTTAGCCTCTCTCTTTTTCTGTCTGCACACGTGTCTTTTATTTTCTCCCGTAACGTTGGAAGATAGGCAATATTTTTTTTCTGGCACTGACCTCCCACACCTTCCTTATACCGAGAACTTGCTGAATGCTCTCAGAGAGGAGGAGCGCAAATCGAGTGGAAAACTACCTGGCTGTTTGTGGTGATTGCAG